GTGCTTCCGTATCTTCTTCTGCTTCTTCACCATCTGGAGGACAACGTTCAATGCAGGTAATGCCAAAGCAAGATAAAGAACAAGAAAAAGTAACCTTATTGATGATCATGCAAGGAATTCAAGACCTTAAGACAAAAATAGATATCATTGAACAAAGAACAGGGAAGACTGAAGAAAAGGTGGAAAATATCCAACAGATGATGGTGAAATATGATGTGAGAATTCAAAAAGTTGAAGAAGAGGGTGAACGAAGAGAGGAGAAGATTGGAAATATTCATACTAGATTAATGGTGGTTGAACAAGAAAAAAACGAGATGTTGAAGTGGGAGATGGAGAGGTCTGAATTTTATCTTAGATTTCAAAATATAGAGGAAGAAAAAGGGCAAGATTTGGCTGCGATAATGATAGAAATCTTGGCTGTTGTTTTGGAAAAAACAGAGGAAAAGATGATGGATGGAGTAGATGAGATATACCGCGTTTCCACAAGATATGCGATGAGAAATAGCCTACCCAGAGAAGTCCACATTAGATTTACTAAAAAATCTATTAGGACACAGATTTTACAAGCAGCAAGAGAGAAGGTATTTAAATACAAAGGTAAAGAAATCCGGGTCCTAAAACAAATACCTAGAAGAGTGAGAGAGATGAGAGGAGAATATCGATTTCTGACCAAAGCATTATTGAAGAAGGAGGTGAATTATAGATGGCTGATCCCAGAAGGATTGATGTTTATATGGCAAGAACAGAGATATAAAATTGATTCAGTTGAGAAAGCAGAACTCTTCTACGCAGATTTTCTTGGAAGGAGAGAGGAAGAGGTAGAAAAAGAGGTTTTAGTAACTGAATACCAAGAGGAACAAATGGAGATGGTAAAAGAAGAAGGTGTAGTATGTGGACAGGTGGATATCAAAGATCAACGTGAACTAAGAAGTATGAGACTCGCCAAGACTAAATATAAAATATCATCATGGAAGAGAAAAAATTGATAACAATGAATATAAATAGATTGAATTTAGCTGCTAAGAGAAGGAAGACTTTTTATAAACTAGGGAAATTAAAGTTTGACATAATTTGTTTATAAGAAGTAGAGAAGACATTATATATGGGAGTCTTTGTGGTTAAACTGGGAGAAGATAAAAAAAATAATGTTATTTGAAAATTCCAGTTTGGTTATCGACGTTAGAAGCTTTTTCTTATTCTATAATCTATAAAAAGGAACAAACAGTTAGATATGGGGAATTACTAGATGAAAAGGGTGAACTTAAATTGATACAAAAATTAGAGGAACAAGGTATACAGACGAATTGGCTTTCTTATGCGCAGATACACTCAAGGTATGATGAAAATTCCAAAACAGAGGGATTTTACGATAAACAGATCGATTTAGATAAGATTGACAGGTACTGATGAAAAGATGATTAAAAAACTATATGGTTACTTATTGGGAATTAAGCTAGAGGAAGAATAAGTTAAAGAAACTATGATTGCTTGGGGGAGGAATTTTGGATATGGGATTGATTTAGAGAAATGGTAGAAATTATGGTCGCAAAATTATAAAATGATAATGTTTATAATTTATAAAGAAAATTTGTATAAGATGTTTTGCAGGTGGCATTTCCCCCCCGACAAGGATAGCAAGAATGTTTAAGAACAAATCGGAAAAACTTTTGGAAGTGTCATCAGATACCTGGTTCGTATCACCATATGTGGTCGACTTGTGAGGATGCCAGAAAATACTGGACTAAAATCCACATGTGGTTGGAAAAAACGACAAAGAGACATATAGACTTGAAACCGGTGTTTTTCTTATTGGGAATCTTACTAGAGATTTATAGTAAAAGTTTGAAATATTTGATTGTAAATGCATTGACTGTGGCTAGGCTTGTATTTGCAAAAAATTTGAAAAATGAGAAAATTTAATTGCAGGAGGAAATTATTGAGAAAATTTTGGAATGTGCTGAGATGAGTGGATTGATATTTGAAATTAGAGAGCAAGATGATAAATAATTTTATACAATTTGGGACCTTTTCTATCAATGGCTGGATGATGAAATACAAAAATAGAATATTTAGAATGTTAGGTAATAAGGAATATTATTGACTTTTCTTCTCCCTTTTCTCTTGTTACTTGACATTATATTTATAAAATGTTTTTTTTCTTTTTTCTTAAGATAGAATTGGTATGATTATATGATTTGTTATAGAATAAATTACTTGGATTATAGTTATCTCATAAGGCATGATTGAATAAAAGTATAGTCAAATTCTTTTTTTTTAATAATGATATGTGGATATATAAGTTTGAATTGATAATAAGAGTTATTATGTAATGTAATTGTAGTTGTGACTGTGAAATGAATGCACAAAACCGATGAACCAACCGACACACTGTATATAAGTATCGAGGAGAGCAGATGCTTTTATGTTTTTGTTTGTTTGTCTGTTTGTTAAAAAACCAATAAAATTGTCTTAAAAAAAAAAAAGAATTTGATGAGCTCTGTAAGAAGGGCGAAATAGAACGCATCTTCTTCAATGGCCGTATAGATGCAACTAAAGTTATGCTAAAAGAAAACAATTCAGGCCAGCAATTCCCCAGTACCACCAAAGAACATTATTCTGTGTGCAGTGAGCCAGGTGGAAGATAACTATCATTTCACTCCAGAGAAAGGCTCAAAAACAGGAAAACCTGCTCGTATGATTGCACATAATCTGGAGTATTTCATGAAGAAAGCCACTGACAGAAGGACACTGGAGGAGATTTTACAAATGTTAATACTGCTTGTGAAGGTGGTGCCATGCACTGGGTAGAGGTCAGGCTTGACCGGAAGTTGATCTGGTTGGTGTGTGCACGCTGCAGGAATGAGTTACCTCTATGACACTATCACAAAATTGGATGGGAAGACCTTGACTAACAACCAAATGGGCTGGTAAAACTGGCAGCATGCTAGACACAACACTGCTTGACAATGATCCTTCATTCACAGTTTCAATTGGTGAGCCTCTCATTTCATTGAGCAAGTGTTGTAAAGCAGTGGTCCCCAACCTTTTTTGTGCCGCGGCCCGGTACCGGCATCACAAAATCATCCACGGCCCAGTACCAGCATCAGCACGCATGGCAAGGCGAGCCGAGCAACCGGCCAGCCAGCTGTCCCCCGCTTCTCCCCGCCACCTTCAACTCCTCCTTTGTACCTGTGTCGATGGGCTTCGGGACGGTCGTCGGCTGGCCTTGCCATGCATGCTGAAAGAATCCTCGCGCCTTAGTTTTGTTCGAAGCCGCCCCCCCCCCAATGAAACTAAGGCGCGAGGATTCTTTCAGCACCCAAACACCGCTTTCTACCCGGAAAAGCTCACCGGAAGCACTTTTTCATCAAAACAAGATGGCGGTGCCCAGCAAACTGGCGGCCCGGTAGAAATTGTTCCACGGACCGGTCCCGGTCCGTGGACCGGTGGTTGGGGACCCCTGTTGTAAAGGATCTGTCTACTGATCAAGTGTATGGATATAGGATCACACAGGCAATGATGACAGGATAACTTACCACAGATCCGGCTCCTCTGGAAATTAGACCCATAAACCATTTACACTGATTGAAAATAGAACTGAACTGAAAACAGACTTCGTTGATTATGGGTTTCAAAACATGGCTTTCAAGGCAAACCTCTCCAAAACTTAAGAACGTCAGTCTCAACTTCGAATCGAACCTGGCAGAAGCTGTTTTTCCTATTTCTCGGTTGCCAGACAGAGGGGTGGGGGTGGGGGGTGGGAGAATGAAATACGCTGCTAGACAAAACACAGCTCTCATGGGAACCAAGGTCATTTCTACAGGTGGTGGATAGAGACGGGGAGAAGTGCCTGGAAAGCCCGCCGATTAACCTAATTGGCCAAGGTGACCTGTGACTTTTGGGGAGTTATTTTCTGTATTAATTACACTGAAACCACAGGAAGCATTTAGAGTTGGTTTTCCATTTGATCATGTACCCAATAAAGAAGTTCTTAGAGGAAGATCTCAGCCTCAGTTTTGATTTGCTTGGGTTCATTAGTCGGGATCATAACAGATAGTGGAATACATTGTTGGTGTGTACTACCTTTGCTGGTTCAAGTAAGAAGTAAAACATTCCTGGATTGAAGGCCCATGTCATATGTTGTTCCAGCTGCAGCAAGCCAGACTGTAAAAGGAGGCTGTAGATGCTGTTTTGCCAACCATTTGGTGCTCAGTATGGTACACTTTCAGTGAAATGATAATCCACACTCTCTTGTGTTCAGGTGACATTCAGGTGAGGAGAGTTGGTGTGCAAAAGACCATTGACTTGAAGGGTGCAGAGGATGACGTGCTGGGAGATTTTTCTGTACGTGCAAGAAAAATGCCTTTAATCAACGCCAGAGCAGCCTCTCTGCTGGAGCTGGCCGACTGGTCTGAGCCACCTTTGATGTGCAAGCGTACAGCGGAAATAAAGAAGTTCATTGATGAACCAAAGCAGACCACAGTGGCCTTGTCACGCCCAATGAATGGAGATGGGTGAAACAGGTCAGAGGCAGCGAGCAGAGGGCAGACACAGGAGAAACGGGGGGATTATATCAAAGGACAAGACAAGCAAACAAGTTGGTGGCTGATGTTGAAGAATTAATCAAAACAAGGCTTGAAGAAGCTGGGTTAAACATTTTTGTAACTCAGATAATTGCTTTCTCTAAGTTGCATGGATGACGTTTTTGCTTAGCTAGGTAAGATTAATGCATTTTTGTAGCACAAATGTAATTTTGAGAAAATAAACAGTACTTGGGTTACAAAATACTTTTGAGGGTTATATGATCAGATGTGGATTTACCATTCCAAGCTAAATGTTGTGCAATTGCAAAAATAACAGATTTGAAGGTGTAGAACCACATCCCTTCACTGAAAAAAATATATCCAAAAAACAATTTTCAGCTCATTAAATGACACACCCAGGACATGGCTTCCATCCACCAATTAATTCCCTGGCCACAAACCACACAGCTCATAGAGTGGGAGAAAAGTGGGCTGGCCTTGTTCCTCAAAGGCCTCTGACCAACCCTTTAATCTGCAAAAAACATGGGACAACAGACATTGAGAGTTTTTTTTTTTTTTCTAAAAACAGAGCATTGTTATGTTGGGGGTGGTGGTGGTGGACTGTAACCGTGACGGATTTAAGCTCCCTTTCTTCACCCACTCCAGAAAAGCTCCGTTTTCATTCCAAAGTATCTGATTTTGTGCTGAGGATCATCAAGTCCCACTGAGGTTTGGCAAGGAGCAGGTGGCTGCACAAAGCCAGGGAACACCAGGAGGGGCACAAAGGGGCCAATTCCATCCGACGACGACGGCTCAGCACCCCAAATCACAGTCTTGATTCTGCAGCAGCTCAGCCCCCTGCCATTCTTATGCTGGGGGGGGGGAAGAGGAGTGGGGGGGAGATCCAGCCCCTGCCCCAGCTGCCCTGGGGTCCACATCTCGTGTCTAGGGCACGTCTCACGCTCCTCGGGCACTGCCAGGCCATACTGGCATGGCTTCCTCAAAGGTCTCTTCCAATGTTCAAGGTTGGCATGAGGTCCAAAGTGCAAAGTGTTGCAGTTCTTGCTTCTATTAATTTTTTTTTCAAAATTAAACAAACCAAAGGAAAACCAATCATCTCCGTGAAAGGGGAGGGTCTCCAGAGACCCCCACCCCCCACCCCAGAATCGCTCCAGGACCTCGTTCCTTGCAAGGTCACCTTGGTTCCCAGGGCTGATGCTGGCTGACTTCCGTCCCTCCCTCCCTCCCTCCCAAGAGTCACAAGAGATCCCGTTCTTCAGGGCACCAGCTGCCCGTTGCTCCCCTGCCCCAACCTCCTTTTGGAGGAGGCGTTATTGCTCGATGAGAAGCTGGCGGGGAAGTTCCAACGCCACCTTCTTCGTCCCAACGTCCCTGGGCCAGTCCAGGAGAGCAGAGGCCAGGCCTGGAGACAAGGCCTGCCCTACCCCCCACCCCCAAGGGCCAAGCCAAGCACGGGCACCGGGCCGGCCAGTCGTGGCTGGAAGGAGCTGGAGGGGGAGAGGAGAGGAGCTCACGCTGCCCTTGAGCCACGGGGGGAAGGGGGGATGCGGGCTGAAGAGGGGGGCCTGCTCTCTACTCTCTGTCCTCTCTGAAGGCAGCCTGGATGACAAGGGAGTTGTGGGCAGCCCAGCTGTAGTCAGGCACTTTCCAGGCAGCCCCTCATCAAGCGGGACCTTTCAGCGGGGCCTCGGTTCCCGGGTGGGGCTCCTCGTTCCTGCAGAGAAGTGGAGGGGGGGGGGAGAAGTTAGAAAGGCCGAGGGGGCCTTTCCCCATCGGTCCAAGTCGCCCTGGCAGCTGCGTTTCCCACCTTCTGGGTGCCTCCTGAACGGACGGAAGGGTGCGGTGGAGTACAAGCGCCGCTCCTAAGAGCCTGGATGAAGCCAGCTGGCCGGAGCCAGGATGGGGCTGCCCTAAGGGACTGGCATCGCCCCCAGCCACCCCCCACCCCCCAGTCCCAAAGGAAGCCTAGGCGGCCGGAGGGCTGGGCAAGGGCAGCCACCGAATCTCCCCTCACGGCCTTCCGAGCCTAGAGGAGGCCTCCCCGGTTCCTCCCTCCGGAGCGAGCGGTCCTTTGGCCTCTCTTCCCGCAGAGCAGCTACTCCTTCACCAGGGGCAAAACCAGGACGTGGTCCTGTGCGGTGAAACGCCGCCAAGACCCAGAAGCTACACAGGCGCTGCCCACCCTCTGTGCACTTACACAATCCTGGCTGCGGGACGAGGAGAGCAGGGCCCTGCCTGGAACTCACCTGGCTGGCCATGGCCCGCCTGGGCCCTGAGCTCCACTCCCTTCCTCTCACTCCTGGCCCTGCCCTACCCACACCCGAAAGAGCAGCCCCCCTCAGGCGCACGTCCCTCCTCGGCGACAGCCCGCCAGCAGCCCAGCACCTGGCTTTAGCCGGTGCCTGCTCCCGCCCTCACCTGTGCTCCCTCTTGGCCTCCTCCGGTGTGGCAGCCGCTGCAGCTGAGCTTGGAGGAATGCCCAGTGCCAGGGGGGCTTCCCTCGTCGGAGGACTTGCCAGCTTGTCAACCGTCAGAGAGTTGTTACTGCTGAGTGAGAAGAACCAAAGCCGGTTCAAGGGCCAACTATTGCCCCGCATGACCCCCACTGGAGAAAGAGCCCGGGCTGGGGACGCCAGGGGCCCCTGCAAACTCAGCCCAATTTCATGGGAGGCGACTCTCTCCCGGCTGCCTAAGGGCCAATGGCAGAGGAACAAGGAGACACCCCCCCACCCCCACCCCCTGCTTCTCAGCACCCCGGAATCAGCCGTGGGAACTGGCCACTGCGAGCACCTGAAGGCTGGGCCAGGGCAGGAGAGAAGAGCCAACACAGCCGGATCAGCAGCCCAGGAGGAAGGGAAGAGAACCCCGCGCCCCCGAGACTGATCCAGGAGGAAAAGGGGGAGGGAGCCACCACCCACCTGCACGGGAGGGAAGGAAGGGAGGGAGGAAGGAAGGGAGGGAGGAAGGAAGGGCCTTGGGTGCCCACAAATGGCCAGGAGGCCCTGAGGCGCAGCTGCCCCTTCCTGCCTGCCTCCCCACTGAAGAGGCTCCGGGAGGAAGGAGAGCAGAAATGAAGCGGTGACTAGATGAGAGGAGGCAGGGAAACCCTGGCGGTGCCTCTATACCAGGAGTGGCTCCTAATGCGCGCGATAGAGGGCTGTTCTTTGCCAAGCTGGTTCACGGGACTTCAAAGTGGATTCGCTGAGGGAGCCCAGGAGAAGATGGCCCAGAAAGGAGGGGAAGCACTAGGAGCCGCGAAGGGCCTTGCACAGCAAGGAGGGACCTCATCACAAGCGTGTAAGCGCTGTGTCTGTGTCTCCAGCCGAGTGCGGAGCATGTAGGGGGAGCCCTGGGCCTCCTCTTAAAGCACGAAGGCCAAGGCGACTCCCCAGGCATTACTCTAAGCGCAGGGGTGCGGTGGGCTGTGGGTGGGAGGCAGGGCCTACTCCTCGGCTGTGGCGGGGGCGCCCTCCACCTGAAAGCAGCAGGCGAGGCCAGGCCTCCCTGCATGCAAGGGAAGGGAAGCCCAGCGCCCTGGGGCTGCAGGGGGGAGACGTGACCATGAGATCCTAGGCTGTCCAGGAAAGGGAGCTTTGGAGAGTTGAAGGCAACAAAGTGGTTTCACTTCACTGGGTTCCGATTAGCGTCCATTCAAAGTGACAACAAAGTTAAAGGGATTCCAACTCCAGGCCGGCTTTCAAAGCTTCAGGGAGGAAGGAGGCCATCCAGAGCACACACAGGCCGGTTTGGAAGAGGTTTGCACGCAGGAAGGCCCATTTCCACAAGGAAGGGGCCTGGTGGGGAAAAGCCTGATGAAAACATAACTACAAACGGAGAGAGGGGGGGGGCGTGTGTGTGTGTGTGTGTGTGTGTGTGTGTGTGTGTGTGCAGGCAGATTCTCTAGGATCCAAGGTGGATTCCCGTAAGCACCGTCACCTTCACGGACAGCATGAGAATCGACGGGAGGGAAGAACACTCCACGGGGAGAGTCCTGGTCTGCCAACCTTGGGAACGTCTCTGGAGCACTTAACCCCAGGGGCCGGGGGGGGGGGGGGCACTGCCCCGGGGGGGGCGTCGGGGGGGCGCCGCGCCCGGGGGGGGGGGGGGGGGGGGCTATTTCCTGGAAGCGTCCTGGAATGGACCTCAGACCCCTCCCAACCCGGGGTCGTGCCCTCCTCCCTTCCGACTTAGGACCAGGCACAGTTTCACGGACCTCTTTGAAACTGTGAAGAAGGTGGAACATGAGCCCGGAAGGGTCCCTCACCTCTCATGTCCGGCCAGAGCCCTGCTGGGGGTGGCTTTTTTTGGCCTGTGGTCACTTGGGAGGCCAGTGGACGGAGTGAAGAAAGCCTGGCAAGAACCTGGCACTGCGGCCGGGCCAAGCAGCTTGTAGGACCTTGGGGGGCGATCAATACATCCCTGGACAGGCAAAGCCTGCCCTGATCAGCCTCCCCCTGCAGGGAAGCTGCTTCTGGGGGCTCCCCCCCACAGGGAAGGTCTCCGTATGCTCGCGGAGGAAAGCCAGGCCCAGCCTAATCTTCCGCTCCCCTGGCGCTACACGGAGCGGTTCAGGAGAAGCTCCGCCAAAACTTGCCCCCTCTGAACACATGCTGGGGCCGAACCCTCTTGGAGGGTTTGCAGTCTATGGTGCCATTCTTCAGCCACCGCTGCCTTCTGGCGGCCATCGCACCATTGGCCGAGAGCCCAGAGCCGTTAAGAGTAGCGTCCGCCCGTGAGTGGCAGCCTCTTTCTCAGCTGGTCCACCCGCCGAGTCCCTTCTGCCCAGAGAGGCTGAGCTTGAGTAGATGTTCCTGCGGGACCTGAGGCAGGGAGGAGGAAGGCCCTGCGAGGAGCCCCGCGGCCCCTTCAGCTCTGCTGCCGGATGGCATTGGTGCGTCTCCCCCCCCCCCCCCCCAGAGGCCATGTGTCCATTCTGCTCCCCAGCAGAGGCGCCTAGGAGGGAAGGGCTGAGACCATTTGCCCAGCGCCATTACAGCGTGGAGGGTCGGCTACTGAAATAAGCCCATCAGAAGGTGGGAGAAAGGACAGCCGGTGGGGGGGATTCTGCCCCCCCCCCAGGACATTGCTGGAGGTTCTGAGGAAGAGGCGGCACAAGGTGGGTGTCGTGGCCCTCGGGGACATCCCGGCTACCTGGAGGCCCATCCATGGGGACTGGCAGTTCGGATGCCTTGAGACCTCCAGAACTTCCTAAAAGGCTGGTGGGAAACGAATTCTCAGAAGAGCCATCAGGAGAGAAGAGCCGCCGGTCTCCTCCGGCTCCACCTCGCAGCCAGACATGGACTGGGCATCCCTCGCCTGCTGAACTGACTGGCTCCCGTGATGGGGCCTTCGGGTTCAGCTCAGGAAGGCAGACCTCCCTGCCTCCGCCCCCCACCCCCCTGAAGCTCAATTCAGTTGGGGGGAGCCAAGATGGGGGAGGGCGGGTGCTGCGCATCCGTCCCCAGAGAAGCAGCCTCCATCCTGGGCACCTGACTTGTGGCCAGTGACTTTATAGGCACAGCTCTGGCCAACGTCTCCAGGAGGGGGGTGGGGGCAGACACCAACATATCCCTGGATAACGGCGTGCCGTCATTCGCTTGATGCCGGGGGGGGGGGGGGGGGGGAAAAAAGGAAAAAGAAGGGAAGCAGCAGCCAAGAGCCACCCTGTTGGGGTCACCCTAAGAGGAGGAGCGGGAGCCCACGAAGCAGCCGACTTCCTCCTACCGGAAGGGAATCGGGGGGGGGGGGGGGG